GCTACCACAGTGTTGGAATTTTCCACTGTACGGTGCTGTAAAGAAACATCTCCTGATATTATGGAGACAAGAGCTGGGCCAGTTTGTTATGAGTTTTTTTTAGGTGGTTGCTAGGGTGTTGGTGGGGATTCGTAGGGGTGTGTTCAGGTGGTTGTTAGTCTGTTGATACATGGTTGCTATGGAATTTATGGTTGCTAGGGTGTTTCTAAGGTATTGATAGCTGCTGTAAAGAAATCACATCTCCTGATATTCTGGAGATAAGAGCTGGGCTTGCTAGGGTTGCTAGGACATTTCTAAGGTATTGACTCTTGTTAAGGCATTACTAGGGGTTTGTTAGTGTGTTTTGGGTGGTTGCTATGGTGTTTCTAAGGTATTGACAGGCATTATTAGGGGTTTGTTAGTGTGTTTTGGGTGGTTGCTAAGGCGTTTCTAAGGTACTGATAGTTGTTAAGGCATTACTAGGTGTTTGTTAGTGTGTTTTGGGTGGTTGCTAGTGTGATTCTAAGATTTGGGTAATTGTTAGGGCATTGCTAGGGGTTTTGTAGTGTGTTTGGGATGGTTGAAGATGGTGCTCATAGAACGTGGGAGTTTTGAATGTTGAGCTATTTTTGCTGCTTTATAGGCCTTGAACGGTTAAATACACACACTTGTATGTGTCAAAATGCCCATTTTTGCAAGTATCCTCATAAACACAGTAATTCAGGTCTTAAGTGAAAGCAAACAGCTGAGAAAGAGCTGTACAGTATATTGGATCCGGGCAGCTCTTAAAGTGACAGCAGTCTAATATTCCTGCTGTCTGCCATTCATGTTAATCAAACAACAAAAGAGAGAAATTCTCTCACTGCTCTTGAATAAATCACTTTTGTAACTTTAATAATAAGAAAATTAAATTTACACAATGAAGAATATGCAGTATTTTATATTAATTTTATTAATGTAGCCTATGTAGCATTTCTTATTTATTTGTTCTACTGTAGTTTTTTGTCCTATTGCTTAATTCGTTTCTTATTCTTATTTAATTGCTGATTGTTTAATTGTCTTCAGTGAGTTTGAAGGTTTTTTTTTTTTCTTTTTTTAATTTAGGCTAGTATTAGTTTTTTTGTGATATTGACACTGATGACAAGAATTATGAAATTGCTAAGGTATCAAAAATTGTCATATCATAAAGACCTTATTTAAAGCAAAAAAAACTATTTTGTGATATATATTGAAATAAAATAAATTGTGAAATAAAATTAACCATATCGTGTATATAAGATTTTGGTCATATCGCCCACCCCTAGTTAGGGCTTTGCTAGTGTGTTCAAGTGGTTGCTGTGCCATCAAAAAGCAGTTGCTATGATCTGGGTGGTTGCCAAGCTATAGATAGGTGTTTGTTAGAACATTGCTAGGGCTTTGGTAATGTGTTTTGGCTGGTTGTTAGGGCTTTGATGGTCATTAGGACATCACTAGGGGTTTGCTAATATATCTTGGGTTCTACTCTGCCCGGTCTGAGCGGGATTCAAATCGGCATTTTGGGCATAGGAGGCATATCTAGTGCGCCTCTTGAGATCAGGGGAGTGAAGTTTACCCGCACAGCTATTACAAGCTGGTCTCATTACACTCACCCCCTACTTGCCCCGCTCCGAGCAGGATTTGAACCGGTGTTTCCAGCGTGGGGAGGAGGCCATGCAAACAAGGAAGCCAAAGACTGCTGCCTGCAGCATCAGTCCCTAGTGTACCTTTTGAGATCTGGGAGTGAGGTTTAACTGCACAGCCCTTACTAGCTGGCCTCCATTGCACTAGTGTCACTAGGATGTTGTTAGGCAACGTCCCTAGATATTTGTAGGGAGCGTTTTCAATGGAAGTAGAAACAATGTTATTAGTAGTAAGCACCACTAATAAGTCCTTCTTATATTTTCTTTTCAGTGGCATTCCCTGTGGTGCTATGCTCCCTGCAGGGCTCTCGGAACTGATGAAGGGGTATTTGCATAATTAGCTAAATGTTAGCTGCTAGCCAGAATGATTGTCCCCCAGTTTGGCCGACCAACAGCACCAGTCTCATACAGGCCAAAGGAAGGATGAGACAATAGAGGAGATGTCGGGGGAGGGGAAGAATGGGAAAGGAGGGTTGCATATGGAATAGCTATGAAGGAATTGCTGGAAAGACACTAAAAACAGATAGAAAGCGAGTAAGCAAGGAGGACAGTGGTAAGGAATGAGTGATTAGAGCGATCAGATAAAGAAGTCAGAGATATAGAGAGAGATTAAGACAGTCAACAAGGGAGAGGCCATCTGTACTCCGAATATCTGGAATTGGTTTTGGGTCTGGAATATCAGAATAAAGTGTGGATATGGAATGCCTCTGTTTGTACAGAGCTTGAGGGTTCGTGTAAGTAAGTGTGTGTGTGTGTGTGTGTGTGTGTGTGTGTGTGTGTGTGTG